TTTTTGTATCTGGAGGAAGGTGTTAAGAATCTGTAGATTCTGTATAGGGTGAATGCTCCCTTTTGCCTTGGAGAAGGTGAACAGCCATGAGTAGAAACCCTGAAACTTCTTCTTTTCTGGAACAATGGCTATGACCCCTTGAGGAAAAAACTGCACCAGAGCGAAGATCCATTAAGCTTTGCGGGAATGTAGGCAGGTTTGACAATATAAAGCGGGGATGAGGCAAAGTTCAGAATTCTAGTTTGTAGCCCCTGGACATTATGTTTTGGATCTAATAATCCAAAATGGCCTGGGACCGCAAAGGTAAGTGGGGGTGCCCCCTCACTGCGAGGACTTTTTCTCAGATTTGGGAGTCCAAGATGTCAAAGAGGCATACCCAATAAGCGTTTCTTGCACTGATGCTCCACAGGGCAACATTTGAGCCAAAGGGTCCTCCACATGTGCACTGAAAGAAGACCCATTCTGTACATTAGGCATATATTAGCTAGCCAATCTACACAGTAGTATAAGGCCATAGGCATGGGCTTCCAGTGTTCAAGGACTGAAGGACCCATAAGAATTGATATAGACATATCCTTTGACAAGAAGCACAAGGTCTGGCAGAGGGGGGTGTCTGCAACTGCAGCTTGAAGAGCAGGACCAACTGACCAAGGGAGGACGTGTAGATAGAGAAGAAAAGGGGTCCAAGGACAGAGCCTTGGGGGACCCCTACAGAAAGAGGAAGAGGAGGGGAGTTAGATTTGTAAGTGACACTAAAGGAGCGCTTAGATAGGTAGGAGAACCATGAGAGAGCAGAGTCTTGTAGATCAAGCGAGTGGAGTTTTTTGAGGAGCAGTGGGTGGTCAACAGTGTCAAAAGCAGCAGAGAGGTCTAATAGTAAGAGTAAGGAGTAGTGGCCATTGTTTTTAGCAGTTAGTAAGTCATGAGTTTTAGGAGGACGGTTTCAGTAGAGTGTAGGGGGCGAAAGCTGGACTGTAAGGGGTCAAGAAGGTTGTTTTCAGTGAGGTGGCGGCTCTCAGGTGGTTGTAGATAAGGCGTTCTAGGAGTTTGGAGGTGAATGGGAGTGATGGGAGTAAGGAGATTGGTCTGAGATTGTTAAGGTTGGGAGGGTCCAGTGAGGGATTTTGGGGTATTGGGGTGACCAGCACATGTTTTAGCGGGGAGGGAAAGATGCCAGTAGAGAAAGAAAGATTGAAAATGTGAGTAAGAGAGTGGTTGGAGTAGTGGTGAGGGAATAGAGTCCAGGGGGCAAGTGTTGAGGTGGGTGTCAGAGAAAAGCTGTGTGACCACCTCTGTGGTGACAGGGTCAAAAGAGGAAAGTAACAAGTGAGATGGTGGGTCTGGTACATTAATAGGGGAGATGACTGGACAGTGAAATCTGATCACGAATTGTATCTATTTTGTTTTTGAAATGAATGGCAACGTCCTGGGAAGTGAGTGAGTTAGAGGGTGGGTGGAGACGGCGGAGGACATAGTAGAGAATTAAAAGTAGAAAAAAGTTGACGAGGTCTGGATGAGAGTGTGTTAAGTCTGTTATATAAGTATATGTTGATCATCTAAATGTAACTATAGTATGAAATGATGGCAAAACATTCTTGCTTAGTATGTAATTTGGCTGTCTTTTTAGTGGTGTTTTATAAATGTTATACCTAATCTTATGTTGTCGTGTATATGATGCATTAAGAGTTTAGTCAGTGTATTGCCCACATTTGTAACCCATATATTGTCACTTTTGTTGCCATTGCCCACATATTGCTACAACTGCCATTGTGTGCCCACATTTATTACCCAGGTATTGTGATGACTGCATGTTGACTGCTGTCACATATGCTCTCGTATTACTACAGTTTGTGAGTGCGTGTGTGACCACCCCTAAAATGGCCTGTTACTATCAAACAACACTAATGGGCACAACGACTCTCACTTCTTCTGAGCAGACTCACAGGATTCCAATTTCCCCTGTGTGTAAATGTGTGCCAGCATGTACCAGCCATGCCAGTAGAATAGAATATAGAATCCAGTGCTTCTATAAATTATCAGCTCAGTCCTTATCAGCCTGTCATTCTATAATTTTTTTTTTCTTTTGTCCAGAACGATTAAGTGACCCCATAGAATATTTTGGAGAGGGGACGCCACAGACTTGCACTATCAGTACCCACAGTCTAACTAATATGCTGCCCAAATTATACTGAAAATCATGAACATTTGAATTAGGGGGTGGGGTTTTCACAGCCTCATTTAAGGCAGAGACAAGTATAGAAAGCAAAGGGACTGACTAAAAGATTTTTAAGGGCTAATTACACTTTGTAAATGACAAGTGTAAGATGTGCTTTGATGTTTTTGCTAACTTCAGTTTGAGAGCTTTACCAAGGATCAGCAAATTCTTGCATTAATTTTTTTTACATTTTTATTACGTTTGTATCCAGGAGATGTTCCATCTCACACTTGGCATATGCTATATGCTACGTAAAAAGTAATTATTTAAAATGGAGTCATTATACATTACTATTAAAATGCAGTTGCACAAAATAGCAAATTGTTGCTTAAAATTGCACATTTTTACAAAATACTTGACATTGTGATCTGCAGCACTGAAACCTTGTGTTGCAGAGCCAATGATATACAGAAATACACACTGCAGTGTACAGTAGAAGTAAGAAATATAAATCGTCTTTACAGTATGGCTTGTGAATGTAAATATTTTTTTTGTATGTAAGCTAGGCTAACTTATGTGGTCATTAAAATTCTATTAATGTATTTTCTGCACACTGAAGTTTCAAATTCAGAAAAATTGCATTGCTGTAGAAGCAGTGCTCAGAGAGTTCTTTAAAGTTTCTTCAACAAATGATCTTGGTAGTAAATATGTCACCTAACACCGGATTCTAGCAGTGAAATTCCTAAAAAGCAAAAACATATACTATGGAATATAAATAAGTGCTCTGGTAAAGTGTGTAAGAGCCATGATACAGTTTTCAGCTTTTAAGCTCATAATTAGGAAACTCGATCAAGAAATGTTAAGTAGAATGGAATTTCCTGGTAATTATTTACAATTAAACCAGTGAGATTGGGTTTACGTCGATGCCCACAGTAGATTACCATTAAAGTGTGCAATCACTTTGAGAGGCACTGGCATTTCATTAGCTCATAATTGATCATATTACCACAAGCATTTGCACAATTAGGTTTAACCAACATGTACAGGAGAATAAGATGAAAATTAGACCAAACTGTAACCCATGGAGAAATGAAGACAGTTATTCTGTAAAGTTCAGCCATATTTAAAAGAATACAGCCTGTATGTGACAGTTCATGCTACAGGTAATATATTATAGAAGCAATGGATAAGCAGGATGACCATCTTAGCAAGCCTAGAGCACGAAAAGTTATCCCAAGCTCATAATACAAATTGAGGGGAGCTGTTGCATGTTATGCCTGTTTGTTCAAAGGCTCCATACTCTATGGTAGGAATGCAGAGGATTCTCAAAAGCAGGTCCTGTCTGGTGTTTTGGGTCATTGGTTGCATCCTCCACAACTGTAGTAGATTTACCAATGAAAAAAAGGGGTAAAATTGCTACATTAAAAAATCTGCTTTTTCCATTATGTAAAGAAAACAGGTAAAATGTAGAAAAAAAAATCTGATTACATAAATCAAGTGTCATGTTGATATTTACACAATGTAATGGTATTATTGTCATTATAATAGCAAAAGCCAGGAAGCATAGCAGATCCAACAGATAAGCACCTTAAAATAAAACATCTGGATTCCCTCCCATCCACTACACAGCATAATGTCAGTGCATACATACAGTACCTATTATTTTTAGTTTGATGTATTTTCATGCTTTTTTAAATATATAGGTAGTAGTGACCCATGTGACATTAGTGCACAATGGGCACTTTTATAATATTGACAAAACAAGCTAACTTTACAATGATATATCCAGATTAACTTCTTTGGATAATTGTAATTTATGTTACACATTGCAATGTGACTTTATATCAAAATCTGATGAAATTAAAGAAAAAGTGAAGCTGCTTTCTATAGCTTTCAACAAGACTGCAGTAAGTATCATTTGTCAGAGCACATTACACAAAAAGGCCGGTCAGTTAGTTCACACAGTCAACTTACTTTTTCAGGTTTTAAACCCCTAATGCATAAGAAAATAAGAAAAGCATATGTTTTATTGGATGCAATCAACACTATAGAGCCTAAGTAAGCAGTGCATATTAATTACTATCAATATTCACTAATAATTAATACTATTAATTACTATTTACAGTTACATTAGTAAATTTACTCCTGTGACCCAAAAGAGGACTGAAGTAAAAAAAAAGGTTTGGCTTTAGTTCTGTTTTAACATTACAAAGTTAGCTCTTCTGCCCTCAGGTTAACCAACTATGCAAGTTTATATGTCCAAATGTCCTCTGATGTCTATGGGCAGCTAGAACGCAGGCACTACGAAATGCATGGAAAATGCTATTTTATTAATTTATTCAATGTGTCCTGGGGGCCCCCTTTCTCCAACCATTTAAGTTTTATATATCAACAAGTCACACTATTTGATTAAAGTGCCATTACTGGCTACTGAGGCATTTTCATCTACAGAGGGATGACAGGGAAGTTGGTCATAGCTCCGAAGAGAGAGAAATCAAGGCCTCTTCTGCAGACTGTACCCCTGATTGGAGGGCTTCTTGGCAGCATATTTAAGGGTTTTTAGTTCAATAATGGTAAACTGCCTGATGTTGGGCAATATTTTCTGTTTAAAACTCTAGATGCCTGACAGCTTGCTTTGGTGAAGAGCTCAAGATGGCAAATGTTTATCACATACCTGGAAAGCATGATGTGTGAGCTATTATTTCAACTGGCGTAACTAAATCATTTTTTATATTTGTAAGCATACAATCAACAATCCTTTTCTTCAATCAGTATTCTGATAGATGACCTGGCAATATATTTTTTCAAATAGAATAATATTGTAAGCTTTTTCTGTTGGACTAACCTTTGCTTTAGACGATAAGCCACGAAGGTTAAGACGCGCTGAAGAAAGGATCTGCACAGCTTCCTGTGGATTAGTCTTGTTCTTGCTGCACTTTATTGACACTAAAATATGCAAAAAGAGATACCACCAATTCACTGCATCAGTTTTGAGTTTCACAGAATATACAGTATACTGGTGAATTATAAATAGCTTTTTGGTCTGAGAAATATTTTTGTTCTGTTTGCTACAGCTGATATATGTTTACAGCTTTATATATTTTATGTAGTTTTCAAGGTAGGATCTCATCTGACAGTTTGCAATTGTAAATTAAAAATGATATATAGCCACACATGGCTTCTCCATTTTGGCTTTATGTTTGTAAAATAAAGAATGACACAATGTAATATGTCATGTATTGTTGTTTATCTGAGGTAGGATTTGCCCAATTTTAATACCTGATAATACCAAATATTTTTTTTTTATGTCCTGATACATACAACCATAGAATTCAAAGAGGGTGTACTTTCTTTTTCACACGACTGTAGTTTACAATAGAACATATATAATTATTAATAAAACATACAGCACATCTTTTATTATGACTGCATAAATTAATACTAGAAATGCATTTGGATTGCTGACCCATTGCTTGCACACCACTTGTAAGCTACTGTTTGCATCAGCACAGATGTCATCTAAATCTATCTAATCCATTCATAATGCACCCAAAATTCACCCAAATTGTCATACAGTTTTGAACAGGATGATGCTGAATCAACAACATACTCTAAGTGGAGAACAACGTTTCATTCAATATTGTAAAAAAATAAATATGGTGAGGGTGCACTCATCTCAACGAATGACAGATGGTGCTCCATGTTTCTTTCTGTGGATTTTCATAATCTCAATGTGAGAGCTATTTCATTGAAAACTAAAATGTCACCTTTGTGTAGACTCTGGAGGACCCACCAGCTTCTGACTGCAACAGAAACATATTTCTTTTGGAGTTTCAAACTATGCCTCTTTGCCACCCCCCTGTCCGTAATGTAAAGTAAATGACAAATCAGAACAGCTATTAATATTCTGACTTAACTGTACTGCTAGAAACACTGCAGCACTAGTTGAAGGCATATGGGGTTGATTTACTAAAGGCAAATAGGCTGTCCACTTTGCATGGGAATTTGCTTGGTGAGTGTGGTGAAATTTCACTTTGTAAAGAATACCCAGTCATGCAAGAAAGAAAAAAAACAAAACAAACAAACAAAACAGTATTTCTGCTTGCACGTGATTGGGTGATGAAAATCAACAGAGATTCACTACACTCACTAAACCAATGAATTCACTAATTTAAACTAAATCAATTTCCATCCAAATTGTGACATTCCTGGAAAAGTAAACACCCTATTTATCTTTAGTAGATCAACCCCTATGTGTTCTACCTGTAACTGAAGACATTAACTAAAAATAAGCCCAGGTTAAAATGACCAACAGTTCTATCTTACAGGTTTTTTTTTTGCAACAAACTTTAGGTGAGATGCATATACACAAGCATGCATACATGCAGCACACAGGGCCTGGCAGATATTTCTAATGAATGAAATAATTAGCCATTGCCTATTTTGCTGATGACAGGTTTCAGAAACATAGGTCAAGTGAAATATGTGACGCAAGTTTCTAGTGGGAGTAGGGCATAATTTTTGTTGTGGCTGACACAGTGAACTCAGGGCAGGAAGTAACAGTAAGACAAAAACTAATTACAGGATGCCTGGTAGCAGCTTTAATGAATCAATTAAGTAAAAAATGTGCTGGGAGAAAAATCCATAACGGAACCCAGCACTTTTTCTTTGAAAACCACATAAAAGAGAAGCTAACACTTAAAATGAGCAGAAATAACTCTAATTTAAAATCGACCATTTTCTTTATAACAGAGACATTATAATACTTTTTTTTTAACATGAGTTCATTTTCCTTGGCTGAATGCAAGAAATCCATGAGTTGTAATACTAGATTTTTATTTTTTACATATTTGAGGTTAATTTAACTCTGTAGTCAGAGTTGCCTGAATAGTCATCTACTCTAGTGTACTGAAACTGTCCTCTACACACCAATGGGAAAGAGAATGCTGAACTAAGTCTATCCTGCTTTCTGGTTGGCTTTGGATATACTTGCTGACGGGTGAACCTGAGATCAGTTTTAATATCACAATTGCAATGAACAGTATGTACCTCTAGATGCTTGCCAGTTGCTTTAGTTTACCTATTTAGAGCTCCAGAAGCTCAAATCTCACGGCGCTCTGGTATAAAAACTTCATAATTAACAAAGCTGAAAAAAATGATGTCTATCAAGTTTAACCTCTTACAACTTCTGCAGTTTTATTTTTTATATAACAATAAAATCATCTTTTTTTTAAAAAATTCCATTATCGGTTTTGCCAATTATGTAGTAAAGAGTCTTGCACCTTAACTGTTCTGTTTGAGAATTCTTCCTCAATTAATAGCAAAACCTTATTTTTTTTAATATCAATGTGTGTCCCTTCATCCTCTGGATTATCCATGAGGTAAAACTAGGGATTTCGGTATTGAGTACTGATATTTTTTTTCCCGGTACTCGCCGATACTGAAAACCGATACTGGAAGTCCCATTAAGGAAGCTGGGCGGTGAGTAATGACTCGCCACCTGGCTTCCTGATTATCTGGGAAGCGTGTAAAGACTCTCCACCCGGCTTCCCGATTTGCAGGGAAGCTGTCTCCATGCTTCTCATCACTGGGTGACGAGAAAGCATGGAGCCGGCTTGCTGGCGCAATGACGCGGTGCCCGGCTTCCTGACTGGCCGGGAAGCCGGCTCCATGCTACCTAGTAGTTTTTAAATCACGGCGCCTGGCTTCCTGATTGGCCAGCTTCCAACCAATCAGGAAGCCAGGCACTGCGTCATTACATCCTGATTGGCCGGGAAGCCGGCTCCATGCTCTCTCGTCACAAGTTGCGCTGCCCAGCTACCTGATACCGGGAGTATTGGGCTAGGCATTGAAGCATTTGGGCAAGTACGAGTACTCGCCCAAATACTGGGCATCGGTGCATCCCTAGTAAAACTTTATTTACAAGATGTTTATAATGGACTTAAATATATTTAGAGGAAACTATAATAATTTGGAGTCAATTGTATTTTTTATATAGTTTATATATCAGGCACAGTAAAAGTTGCTCCCTTTCAGACATGACTTCCTCATAATGAAACCTCCAACTGAGGAAACAGGTAAGAGAAAAGTTATTACTTTGACTCATTCAGTTCTGTGTGTACATTTCAACATGATCTATTGATCTCTGTAAACAACAGAATATTTCAAACACATGGTAGAGAGCAAGCATAACCTAGGGCTTCACCTTAAAGTTGGATACAATACTTTATAATACTCGTATGCATTATTTCAGATTTCACTGACTAAAAATAAAGGAAAAATTCAAATTATATTTAAAAAATATATTTTATTATTATACATCCCTTTAAAGAGACACTGTCATTAGGTAACATGTATCCCAAAAAACTATTTCTTGTTAGACTACATACATTATACATACCCTTAACGTCTGCATTAAATGCAAATGTGTGTCAGATGCTTGTATCTCCTGACGGAAGCTCCTCTCACTCCACCCTCTTCCCTGGCCACTATGTCACCAGTGTGTCAGGGGCATTCTAGAGACATACTGAGCAGTGGCTAAATCCACAGTGGGGAGACACAGACATTCCATTCAATGGAGGAGGTAATGGTAACTACATGTATTTTAGAGGAACACTGTCATTAAGATGCATGTATACTGGCAACAGTGTCTCTTTAACCCCTTCCTGCCTGGTCATACTGCTTCCAGTCACAGAGTTGCATTCTGGAGGTGGTAGGACAGGCTTCTGAAAACGTGATCATTGTAACAGCCAATCACAGTGATCAAATGATCAGGAAGCCCATGATATCCCTAATACACAAGCTGTAGGATTACAGATATCAGGAAATGCAAATTCATCCAATACAAATAGGGTTAACCAAGGTTTTCTTATGTTTACCCTATTGCTTTGCTCACTTGTTCCTTTTCCCAACATACACTAATAGTGTGTTAATCCACTATGTCCTAAATAGCATTATTGAATAACTTTAATGAGTTTCTATTTTGAAAAGAAAATGTCCTACTTCTTTACTAGACTAGAGTTCTTCTTTAGGTATTCGCAAGAACCTGCGCTAATGGAAAGATAGCATTAATAGGTAAATAAATAAAATGTATGACCCAGGAACTACAAATATGATTTCTATAAAACTGAAAGTGTACAAAAAGCTGATTTCTATAAAACTGAAAGTGTACGAAAAGCTGCTGGACTCAGGCACTAGTCCCCTAGAGTAAAGATTGTGTTAAATAGTACAGCGCTAAACGTCATTCAGTGATGGAAACACAAAAATCAAACTGTAACAATCCCAGCATGAAGCATTCATCAGAAAATAAAAATAGCTATCAAAAAGTGTCAATCACATCTATACAAATGAAGTGAGAAAACTGACAGTGTGTAAAAGAATAATATTCCAAAGTGAAACAATGTGTGAAAACGACTGTTCAGTAAACGGAAAAAAGTGTTAAAGTATGTATCAAATATACACCTTGAAAAAATAAATAAACACGTGTCTAAATCTGCAAAAGTGTTCAGAAACATATATCTTGTGTGTAAAATTATAACAACATATTAGTAAATTAAAAAAATTCTCTACATAAAATCTGTGTTCATAACATTAATATAAAAAATATTAATAAAAAATGGGTAGTCATCAAGATTGACAGAGTTTCTCAAAGTCTTAAAACCCCAAAAACCAAAAGACCCCCCACAGTGAAATCGGGTGCGTTTTTCAGTTCAATGATGTGTCCAACGAAAATCCAAAGAAAGACCAAGGAAATCCCCTCAAGGGAATGCACTCGCCGGATCTCTGATGTTAAAAAAGCCGTTTGTCTCGTCAGATGGAAACCGGAGCTGTGTATCCTCTTCTCCCGCTCAGTGGAACTCCAGAGCAAGAAACACCTCTGGTTTCTCCGTGATGTTAAATCAAGGATCTCCGCCCTCAAAAGTCCCCCAGATCAGATATCCAACAAG